GGCTCTTCTCTTGCACCTTTTGTGATTTGCAGGGCAACCACTTGGAATCCATTATATGCTTGTACAAAACATCACGCTTTGTAATTGAATTACACTGTGCAAAGAATACAAGCCTGACCTGACAATTCAGCCAGGAGAGTTTTCCAGCCAAACATAAAACTTCTCCACGCTCCTGTAAATACCCACTCTTGTCTCAAAACTCCGTCGTTTTCTGGATTGTCGTTAAATTGTTTAATTTAACGAAACAAATTTGACACACTCGCTCGGTGACTGCCATGAATTTTACCCTGAGAAGTCGGTTGGGTTGTCTGCTCCACTTTGAGCTGTCTGCATGCTTAAAGTTTCCCCCAGAAAGTCAGACTTGAGCAGCAAATTAGTTTCTATATCGAATAGTCTTGGCAGCTTAGCATTTATTTAAAAATACGAGCAGCTGAGTACATATGCTACAAAAACATACTCTTGATAAGCTCCATATAACTTGTGTTTATAAATTATTCCTCCTTAAAGCTCTCTTGCCAACTTGGTGGCTAAGAATGCACAGTGCTTCAGCCCAGGCTTGTCCCAAGCCTACAGTGTGATTTCAGCAAATTTGATTCCCAATTCATAGTGTCTTTTTCCACCACTGCAACTGTTAAGACTTGAGGAGGGGCTCGGCTGCAAGTGCAGTAAGGCCTCTAAAAAAGAAAAAGGCAGGAAATTTAAGTGGTAGCTACATATGCTGTAGAACTAATTTGCTAAGCTCTAAGAAGCAAGCGTTCCCCACATAATACTATAGAAAGACTGGAAAAGGAGTGCTGAGCTGCTGCCTCTGAAGGAAATCCTGTCTAGTCTTTAGCTGGGGGCCTCAGAGGTGGGATGCTGGAAAGGTGGGATAATTCTTGGGCCTCTGCCTAGGATGTGGAGAATTTCCATTCATCCAGGCCTCCCAGAAAGCTTTTTTTTCTCCTCTCCTTATTTCTATCAATAATTACATGCATTAGCCCCCAGCTTCTCACAGCTGTTGTCTACCAGCCAAGTTATTTTAACGGATCTAAAGTGTTCCTGGTAGAATTCTGTACGTCAGATTTCCTCCCAGAGAAACTATTTCATTTTTTAAAAAGGGATTTTACGTGGAACAGTAGTGGTGATCGACTCTGAAAGCTGAACGTACATGAGCGTTTGTTGGCCTTAGTGCAAGGTGCCCAGGTAGACAGACGGCCACTTGTTCCTACACCGCGCACGTTCCAACCTGCTTTCATGCAGCTCCGCGTTGGAGGCTCCCAACTTGACCTCATCTGCTGCATTTGCTTCCACCCACCTAACGACTTGCTCAAAACCTGCTTTGTCAGAGCTGGATAGCGAGCAGTGCCGGGTTTAGCACAGTCGGCTGCTGAAATCGCACCGTCGGTTATAAAAAGGAAGAGAAGTGCCCAAAGCGAGCCAAAGCAGCCGTGCCACACAAAGCATTGCCGCTTTGCTGGCCGGCGGTGGTTTGCCTTTGTGAAGACGGGCCTCTGGTACCTGCTGCTCTGCTTCCACATCCTTTCCGTATCACGGAATCACAGGGTGGTTTGGGTTGGAAGGGACCTTAAAGCCCGTCTAGTTCCAACCCCTCTGCCGTGGGCAGGGACACCTTCCAGCAGACCAGGTTGTACTGATTTACTAGGACTGGGAAATTCCGTACGGTGCTGTGTGTATTTCTAAGAACAGAACCGGAAATTATACTTAAGGGAAGGGCATGGCTGGGTAGGTTTGGTGGTAGTAAGAGTTGAACTTGATGCTCTTAAAGGTCTTTTCCAACCTAAGCGATTCCATAATGTCTCTCTGTCTTCAAATGATATCTCTATCCGCAAACAGGTGGGTTGTGACAGGTTCAGTAAAACTCAAGTGTAAAACTCAACTCTCACAAAAATTCCCAGGAGTAAATCTTTCCTGTCCGTTCTACGTGCACACCCCTGATTATTTTTTTATATAAAGCCTATCTGTGCTCAAAGTCAGTTTTGTTTCAGAGCTGGAACCATCAAGGAAAAGGACAAGTACGTACTTGTTAGTTCTTTCTAGACGAGCAGTATTTCCAGGGGTGTGTTTTACCATAGAAATAAATAATAATGTCTGACTGCTCAATTCCGTGTTGAAAACAGCATTAAATATTGAGTTGTAGTGTTGTCTGCGAGTCGGTGCCTGTAAATATCAAACTGCCTAGAATTCCGCAGGAAATGAGAATTTTGGTTTCTGGTCAGGCCCTGCTGTTGCAAAGGGTGTTGTTGAGTAACTTCCCCTCCTCACCGGCACCCACCCTCAGCCCAGCCCGCAGATAGACACCGCTGAGGCTGGAGTGGTACAGCAGTAGTACATGTTTGATTCCACGTTATTCCTGGATGAACCTCGTTCCTATTCTGCTCCTAATTAATGTTGCACACAGAACCCTTGCAAACCTGAGGATGAGGCAGTAAAGGATATTTTCACGTCTCTTTGAGCCGTGGAACCAAAGGAATCTGAAATTTTGAGCTAGCATTTTTCTGTATGTTCCCTTTTCTAGCGTTGCATATAAAATATGATTAAACTTTTTGCCATAAAGTCCTGAAAATGAGTGTTAAGTAGGGTTTGGGAAAGGTTATGTGCTAATGTAGAAAATGCCATGGTTGGGATTAAATAAACGGATAACACGCTATAGTTTGTGAATTAGATACAGCAAGTTTTAAGCTTTCCTCTGCGGACTGTGGCATTCAGAGATGGTGCCAGAACTAAAGGGATGGCTGCTTTTATTCTGTACAGCTTATTTTGGTCTTAACTGAAAGCGAGTACTGCAAGTGCTACCTCCGTACTCTGGGCAATTGCTTCCTTACCCCGAAATACCAGGTGACTCTGCAGTTCCTCCTGTATCGCCAGCACCAGGAAGGGGCAGCTGGTGTAGTCGCGCTGGAAGTGGAACCGTTGCTGGTGAACGAGGAGGCTGCCTAGTGTGGGGCTGGATTCGGCTCCTCTGCTTGTTGGTTTTTGCTCCTGGGTGACTTGGACAAACAGTTAAGATTGCCGTTGCTTCGGGACCAAATTTATTACTTATTTTTGTTATTTATTTTGTCATTCATTTGTCATTACTTGTTTGCAAACGACATGCCAATAATATTTAATCTTCACTCTGTTGTTCCAGGGTAGACACAAATATTTTTTCCATGGGTTTTTTCCCGTTTTAGCCCATTCTCCCCAAAGTGTGGTATGGAGTCACAGCAGTAGGGGCTGTGAAAATATTTATTTGGCATCCTGATACCACGCATCTCATGGGATGACCGTTTATTTTTAGATGAGCACGTACATCTCGTTAACAGTAGCATGGCTGGGTGGAAAACAGTGGATGCCATTCCCCCTGTGCCTTGAGCCCAGCCTGGAGTTACGACTACTCCGTCCAGTTGCATCATATGTAGAGTTTGGCCTTTTTCATTCATACTCAATTTTCATGCATCGAAAGAAAAAATCATCCTGTAGTTAAGCAGCTTCAGTGCAAAGGATTCGTTATTGATGCAAAAGCAGAATCCTGGTGTAAGCTGGCGGGCGTACAGCTCGTGGCAGAGCATCACTGTGATTTTATTTTTGAGAGTCAAAGCATTTATACATCGATACCTGTGTGTCCCAAGGATGAGAATTACTGTATGTCTTCATATACCCCATGCAATGTTTTTGTACGACCTGCGTTTTCCTTGCAAACTTCTGGTTTAGGTAAGTACCATGGAGAAAATAGAAAATTAGAAGCGAAGGAGGCTGCACCTTGCGATTGTGGGTTTTTTGCAATACTGTGTTTGAAAAAAAAGGTTAATAAAATTATCTCAAAGAATGAACTTTGTTAATATTTCATTGAATATGTGTATAACGATTTGCTGTTCGATAAATAAGTTTGGGAGCAAAGGGGCTGGTTTTTTAAGAAGGTCAATATGAGGTGGGCTTATCGTGAAGCTCTGATTTCAGGTAGCTGTTGAAGGGCTGCAGTTTGAATTTTGCCTTTAAATAATAAAAACTAGTAAGTAAATTTATTTTTAAATAATAAAAGGAACTGACGAGTGCAGTTGACAGTATCTAAATTGCTGGCAGAAGCATACACTGAAAATGAAGCATTTTTCTTTCTGGACTTTCACAGAATCTCACGCGCTGCTGAAAAAGGCCCGTGAAACAGGGTTTAGGGTGGTTTTGGAGCGGCGGGGGCAACCTCATCCCTGCTGCCATGCACGGAAATTTAATTTCAGCTTCTGTTGCAGCACTGACCTACGTGAGTAACTGAATTCTGTGGTTTTGCTAGAAATTAATTGAGTCCCATCCAGTGACACCTGACTGTGAGACGGCGGATTTGGTGGCAGCGGCACAACATGCCGTGGAAAGGTAGACCCATCCGGGCAGCTTTCGGTCCTGCCGCCCACCAAAAATACTGCGCGGCAGCCCCTGCCAAGTAAACGGGAGTTGCTAAGTCGCCTTGGGAAAAGCCAGGTATTCCCGAGAGGTTTTACGGCTCGGCGAGAGGCTGAGGGTTGATGCAGGATCCGAAGTGGGTTCCTTTGTTAGGCGCAGCGTGTGCGTCGGGCGAACGTGTTTGCCCTGATTCCTGCAGCGAGCAGTGAGTGTTGGAAGTTAACCTTTTCGGTACATAAATTAAAACCCAATTTGTCCTGCTCACAGGTTTATATGTGTGAGCGCACGATCATCAAACTGTTGCCTGGCTGGTGATTGAAACCACGACTTGTTACTTTCTAATGCAGTTAAGAGTTTGTTCTTACATTGCTTCAGAGATTATTTCCCTTTTTCTTGCTATATGTAATCCTATTTTGGGGTGTCTTTTTATCCCCGTTTCATACGGCTGTTTATTAGAACAGCCAAATATGGGGCACAGAAGGTTACTGGGATTTGAGACTTTTAATGGGAAATAATTTAACTTTTTAAATGTGAAGCAATGGTAGTTATTTATTGATAGTTTCATACATACGTAGTATTTAGTATATGGCTTAACTGAATACTTACAGTTGAGAAAACGTTATTTCCAATTAGCTATTAGACTGCAGGAGCTGATCAAATCCACGCAGTTGTCCTTGCTGTTCCCTGTGCCTGTTGGGGTGTGAGGATCTCCCTGTCTCCCCTTTGTCACCCCACAAGTGTTTCCTCCGAACCAGACCCCGCCACGTCAGAAGTCGGAGTTTCTCCACTTGGAGACAGGAGAGCAGATCCTGCTCGGCTCTTCGTTAATCTCAGACAGGGGAAAGTACACGGCTTGTGGCTCCTGTCGCAGCTACTTTCTTGGAAAGCAAAGTGTCTTAATCTTCTCGCTTTATGCCGCTAATTCTTCCCCCGTGCCGCATGTAATCCAAGATTAACGGCATTGTTTCCTCATTTTATTTTTTTAACTATCATGGAAATCTCATTAACTAAAGGAAACATCTAAAATGTCTTCAGGGCTTTATTTTTTAAACAAATTAATGAAATAATTTAGCTAAGATAGTTCTCCATCATCCACACAAGATTATTCCAGGGATGGAGCTACTCCTGGCCATTACACATCGGGTTTGGTCACTTGTTTCAATAAGGAAAATCCATACTTAATTTGCCACTTCTGGCTGCCCCTTGACATTTACATTTTTTCTGAATCCATGCTAGTATTCCCACTGAGAAAACGTGTTATTAGTCTAAAGGAAAGAAAGTTGGTTCATGGAGCAAAAGCTACCGCTGTTGGCTGCTCCAGTGTCTCGTTCCCTGCTAACTGGTTTTAAGCTCTGTAGCTTAAGTTGCATCTTGTGGAAGCAATAAAGTCGCTTCCACGAGACTTTTCATACAAGAACACTGAGAGGTGTTTTGTTACATCTGTGCCAAACACGCAACAAGAACAACAAACTTATTTTCGGGTTCAAAGAGCAGAAGCAGTGACATGTCTCTCTTTGCCATCAGTGCTGTGGCAAATCCAGGCCCCTTCAAATAACATTTATTAGTACCCAGGTAACTGACAACACAGGAGACTTAACGGATAACAGGGAAAAGACATGGAAAACACTTGGGCCAGCAGCTGCAGTGGGCTATTGCCAGGACATGTAACCAGGGCATCACGCATCCATGCACCTCGTGCTGGCTGTGCCCGCTTCCCAAAGCGAGTGCAGGCAAGTCCTCCAGCAGCATCAATGCTTTCCTGGTTTCCTGATGGCAGAAGGCTGGAAAACGAGTGCTCCGCACAGGAAGGACGTCAGTCCTGGAGGTACGGGTGGGTAGGATCACTGGGTACAGGGGAGCAGAGCACGGTGCTGCCAAGGAGAGAGGGGAGAGGTGGCTTTGGTACCCAGCCAGCACGGAGCTGTGCTGCAGCCCTGCAAGCTCTGGGGGAGATCCAGAGGTTTTGTTCCCAAAGCTGTAGGTAAGTTCCCAAAGATGTGGACATGTCCTTGCTCCCTACAGCCCCCGGGAGCCTTGGAGCAATGTCGGTGCTGCCGGCAGAGCCCAGCTCCCATGCCCCATGCTTGGATGAGCAGTGGAGGCTGCCAGGCAGTGCCACCGTGGGCAAGCGATGGGGATGCACCCAGAGCTGCCTCTGCAGCACAGCGATTCCTCCGACAGCGCTCGATCCATCCCCTGAAAGCTCCTCGGTACTGCACCAAGGGCTGTTCCGCCTCTCCTCCAAATCATGTTTCCCAGCCATCCTCGGACAGTTGGGAGTTAATGGGCCCCGTCACCACCAGAAGAGGTAAATCCAACTGCTGTGGTGCATTTTAAAGAAATCTTGAGGGTTGTAGGGATGATTAATGAATATTAGTAGCTTGTAGTGCTTCGGTGTCTGTGTGGCTAGATGCTGCTGAAAATAGATGGCACAGAGACAGGGCACTGATTCATATTGCGATGGGGGGGGTCAGCGTAATGTGCTCCAAACAGCTTTTAAATGATGACTGCAGAGGAGTTAAGACCAGTTTAATCTGACTAAATAATACTCCTAATGATAAACCATTAAAATCAAGTTGACTTTTAGATTCTAGCAATTGTATCAGACAAGGCGATTACATTCAACATCAGCACTGATAATCATTAAAATAGATTAAACTATCGACTGAGAAATAAGAAGCGCAGGTTGACTCCGGCACAAGTGCTGGTTTGACTTTCCAGCAGTGCCCCTCCGGCTCCCTGAAGCTTCACCCAGGGGGAATGGCCCACGCTGGGAAACGAGCTGTTATTTCTCAGCACAACCTCAGCGACTCTATTTGCATTTCCTTCAGCAGCAGCCCGAACTGTCTCCTCTTGCGGGAGTTCTTGTAGGAACGGCCCAAAGTGACTCATGTGTGAAGCGATTCAGTTCTGATGGATTGTCAGTGGCACGGATGGTGGGATCGAGTGCACCCTCAGCAGGTTTGCTGATGACACCAAGCTGTGTGGCGCGGTCGACACGCAGGAGGGAAGGGATGGCATCCAGAGGGACCTTGACAGGCTGGAGAGGTGGGACCGTGCCAACCTCATGGAGTTCAACAAGGCCAAGGCCAAGGTCCTGCACCTGGATCGGGGCAATCCCAGCACAAGGACAGGCTGGGTGGAGAATGGATTGAGAGCAGCCCTGAGGAGAAGGACTTGGGGGTGCTGGTGGATGAAAAGCTGGACATGAGCCGGCCGTGTGTGCTGGCAGCCCAGAAAGCCAACCGTATCCTGGGCTGTATCCAGAGCAGCCTGGCCAGGAGAGCGAGGGAGGGGATTCTCCCCCTCTGCTCCGCTGTGGGGAGACTCAACCCAGAGTTCTGCATCCAGCTCTGGACCCTCCAACAGCAGAAGGACACAGAGCCATTGGAGCAAGTCTAGAGGAGGCCACAGAGGTGCTACGATAGCTGGAGCCCCCCTGCCATGGGGGCAGGCTGGGGGGGGT